CATAAATGCACATTCTCGGCTCCTGTTGGGAGAGTTCTCCTTCATTTATTACTTTAATTCTGTGCACGGCTGCCAGAGATCTGATAAGGAAGGAAAAACGTTACCTCACAGGTGTGTTGAAGATTTGAGATAATGCAAACAGGATGCCGAGGCTGGGCAAAGGTACTTCTACAACAGCCACACAATTGCATCTTATGACATTGGCAGACCACACACACTCAGGTGGGATGCATCAAAGCCTCGCAAAAATACTATAAAACACACAGTATCATATCCCAAATTACAGCTGGGGCGTGCAACAATGTTAAAAACAAGGACCGCTTCTGTTGCCAGCGCAAACACATCAGGGGCTGGAACGAAGGAAAGCCTGAAACAGCCAGTGAGTGTTTTAGATCCCACCACTGACAGGAGTCAGGGCTGTGCTGACTGTGTAGGATGTGGCAAAATGCTGCAGAATGAGCAACAAGGATAAAGATCCAAAGCCAACATGTCTCTGCAGGGTTTCAGGGTTTGTTTCTACTGCGGATGCATCGTTTGTTTATGAAGCAGAGCACATGCTGAATTATTCCTGGCAGTGACTTCGGTGCAAGCCTCAGCCTGCAGCTTGCTACTGGACATATAGTTTAGAGGCCACCTGCACTTGATCTGCCTCTCTCAATGCATGAAGACAAGTCAGACTGCGCACACAAATGTCAAAGCAGGTCTGGCATATTTCAAAATAAAAGCCCTGTCCATAAGTTTTAAATGTATGTGACAGAAAACCTTTAAATACATCTAAATTCTCCACAAGCTCGTATTAGCGCGCAGGGCTACAGCTAATGTGCAATTAAGCATCAAGTGACGATTTATTTCCAAGCAAAATCCTCTCCAGGTGCTTGAAAATTCTCTCTTCAAAAACCTCCAGAGAGCAATAAAAGCCCGTGCATTTACCTGAGTAGTTGGTAATATAATCCTGAACACGTTAAAAGGTAATCCCATTCACAGTCCCTCCTTTTTTAAAGTCCCACACTGGAAACACGGTTTTGGAGCGGCATGCGTGCGCGCGAGCTCCCGTTCCACCTGGAGGTGTACGTCAGTTTGATCGCAGCTCGGATTAAAGGTGGGATGGAGCCAGAGTTCCCCTCGTGTGTCCGTCCCACTCCGGGCTTCCAAGATAAAAAAGGGAAACCATCCACGATCTGGAGCCACCAGGATGAAGGCAACACATGCAACCCCCCCCCCCCCCCCCCCCTTCTTTTTTCATAGATTGTATGGGGCACCGATTTTAAAGTTAAACTGTTCGTTTCTAAAATGACAGCTGTGTTTTACCTACTTTAGTTTAAAACAGTGAAGTCTACAATGACAAGTGAATTTAGAATAAAACCAACTCCGCACATTTATAACTAAATTTTATAAATATTTGTATATTTTTTGTTTATTTTACTTTGAACAAGATAAAAGAGAGAGATTGTACTGTTAAACAAACAAATCAAACAAGCAAAGTTTTAAGTAAATGAAGTTAAAAAGGTATTTTCACAGTTTTTTTTACTGCAGAGTTCTTTAAACAGTAACAAAGTAATCCACAGTCAGAACTTATGTTAGGTATACGTTTAGACAAAAATGTTCACTTTCATATTTAGATTTCACCATTTAGACCATGTACACACATGTATTTGTTCTGAATGTTAAAGTTGAACTTTGTAGATTTGATTTAAAATATTGAAAGTTACACTTAATTGTTGAAATAAATGTAAGGCAAGGCAGCTTTATTTATTTAGCACTTTTAATACGTGGAAGCAACTCATTATGATTTCCAGGTGCAAGATCAGCAAGAACATAAAACATTAAAATCAACGTGACAACATAAAACAGCAGATTTTAAAATCTAATTTAAAATAGTCAAATAACATAAGATGTAAGAAATAAAAAAAAAGGGCAAAGTTAAAAAAGTTCTGGGCTAACATGCAAATTCAGAGTTCCACAAAACAAAAGCAACCTGTCAAAACAAAATTCAAAATTAAAAAGATACCCCATATAAAGACATTTATTTTTGTTTAAAATTACTTCTGTCATATTTTTATTTTAACATTTGTTTGTAAATTCATAACTGTAGACTTGTGAAATATTTAGATGTAAAGTTTGAATTACTAATATTTAAGTCTAATAGAATTTATTGAAATGGAATTATCCCACCTTTACTGTTGACATCTGCACATAATCGTGAGAGCAAGTCAACCCCTACCAGAGTCTAACTCCACTCCCACTTCATGTTTGAAAAATGCAACACATGCTGTTGCCTGGCAGACCGAAAGGACGGAGCTGCTAACAGATACACACACACACAGGCTCACAACAGCATTGTGACATCATAATGTACCAGTTTACATCATAGCATACTTCTTAGCCAATAGCGGTGGCAGATTTAAATTAAAATACAGTGCAGAGTTTTTACCTGACAACGGCACAACACTGCCAGTTTTAGGCAGAATATTTAAATTTTAACTAAGATGCACTGAAGTGCCAAATTATTGACGACACGTGTCTGCAGCACGATTAGACACTCGTTTATTTAGTTTATCAGCAAAAAAAAGTTTATTTGGGGGTGACTTGCTCTTTAAACCAAATACTTGGCTAACATGCATATTCAGACTGTTAAACAAAGTTATCAAACAAAACAACAACAGGGTGAAGAGATCCCCTCTGGAGTGTCTCAGATTGTTTTGTAGTTGCAGGATTGCTACAACCCACACCATTTACCGATGTGTGGGAAGAACCTAGACAGAAGCATTCATTAATGATCCATAGTTAAACAAACTCACACAATCTTACAACTGAAATGATTTCAAGGACTCAGTTAGAGAATCTCTTCACCCCATTTTTATTTCTGGTCGGTCACAATTTAAAATGGCCATACATGTGATTTTACATATGTAGACTCAAACTGAAATATTTAGATTCAACTTTTCATTTTGTTTGATGCAATTAGTATTTTCAATCATTTAATATTCAGATTTATGTTTAAATGTTAAAAGGTAACAATAAACAAATAAATAAATAAAAACAATACACTTTTCACATCTTTTTTTTGTTAATACTTAAAGCTAAAGTGGACTAAATGAAGATGTTAATTTTATAAATTTTACAATCAGCGCCCCATAGCTGACCTACGTTGACACTATTATTAAAGAAGGTTTTTTTGTTACGGGGAGAAAAATTAAGACTCTGTCACTAATCTTCAGTTGTCTTTAACAGATAAATCAATCTACTGATAATAAATAAAACTTTTTTGTTGTGACGGACAGATTTATGCCATTGATGGTGCGCACCTACAGCCTCTTCTAACACTTTCAGGCATTTAACTCACTTTAAAATATGAGCAAATTAGTAAATTGGCAGCAAACAAGGAGTTCAGAACTTAACGCATGGTTGTTGGCCATTAAAAGTCAAAGTGTTGAAGTAAAAGTTATTTTTGTGTATTATCAGCTTTTTTAAAACCTCCAGAATGTATTTGAGATTAAATTGTCACGCTCCGAGTAGATAAACGCTTGGAAACCAGGTTCTGTTTCAAGGTAACTCAATTTTCTTTGAGCTCTGCCAGCTTTTTGACAGGTTGTCAACAGAAAAGCAAAAAAATAAAAAACTCACAACAGCTTGAGCTCAAGTTTCTCGTTCAGTAAAAAACACACAGCTTCTGATTTTAGTTATGCCTGCTCAGAGACTAATAACTGACAGAATGTAACCCGAGGTTTTATGAAGGTCTGATACCATAAATGCTCCTGGGGGGAAATATGGCGCTATCACACACTTCAGCTGAGCCAAGAGCAAACTGTTCAGTGTTTCCAGATGTTTTTGTGCACCCTTTGTCTCTCGTTTGCACTTTTCATCAGCTGGATGCCTTCACGAGACCATTCGGGTGTTGCTCCACAGTTCTGGATTGACTGACATTTAAACTCTGTGACATTCTGATCGATATAGCAGAGGCCATATATCTTACTGAGGCATACATTTGTGGAGAAAACCCAGAATAAGCTACTTCCTGGAAAACCTCACCAGGGAGGAGTCCAGGTGTCACACTGTCCGCCACTCCTTGTCTGTCCCTCTCCCTCAGCAGCAGTCCTGTGTCTTCTCTAACCGTTCCCACCTGCCTCTCGTCTCCCAACACTTCAGGTCCCTGCTCCTCTTGTATTTAAACCCTTCCAGCTCTGTGCCCTTTGCTCGTTCATTGTCTCAATGTCCCGTGTGTGTCCACATAAAGAACCTTATCAACGGTGTCTGCCTGCCTGCCTTCTTCCCCTGCACTTGGATCCTCCCCTCGACCTCAACTCGCCCGCCATACGTGACCGAATGAACGAACCACTCAAAGGATCCAGCGGGGAAATTCTGCCCTGGGAGTGTTCGCTGCAATGGCTCACTCCTAGCTACAGGTCAGTATGCCCTCCTCCAGCGCCGCCTCGCCGCAGACTCCACCGTCGAATCTCAGCCTCAGCGATCCTCTCTGCCCTCCCGGATCCAGATGAGAGTATGGGCTAGGTGGCGTGGCGGACCCACTCCTGCTTTGAAGGCACCAAACTGGCCGTGTGCTCTCCCGGAGTGGGGCCCTGGCGTTGGGAGGGAACCTAAGCCCCTCCGTCACCTCCAGCCCCTGATCCACACCCCGGGCGCAACGCAGCCTCCACTGACGTCACTCCCAGCTTCTCTGTGAGTCAGACTCCAAAAGCGGCAGCGAAGATGCCCAACGAGCGACGCTCTCAGCGGGGGGACACCCCTCCCGAGACCTCCTCCGACTCCGGGTGGACCCAGAGAGGATCAAGACGGCGGAGCCAAGCGAGCAGCGTTGTACCGCCTACCCCAGAGACCCCTACTCTGCTCTCCGGCTTGGGTCTCCAACGTCATCAGTGGTCTCCAGTCCAGTCAACACCCTCGTTGACGTCAGACCGAGGGACTTGGATCTTCACCTCGACCTCAACTCGCTCGTCATGCGTGGCACCAGGAGGCATCCTAACCAGATGCCCCAGCCACTTTTCGATGTGGAGGAGCAGCGGTTCTATTCCATGCCCCTCCCAGACCGAGCTTCTCACCCTATCTCCAAGGGAGAGCCCAGACACCCTGCGGGGAAAACTCATTTCGGCTGCTTGTATCCGCGATCTTACCAAAGCTGCCCAAAGCTCGTGACCATAGGTGAGGGTAGGAGCATCGATCAACCCTTAAATCAAGAGCTTTGTCTTCTGGCCCAGCTCTCTCTTCACCACAACAGACCGCTTCAACCCCCACATCACTGCAGATGCAGCGCCAATCCGTCCATCAATCTCAGGCTCCATCTTTCCCTCACCCGTGAACAAGACGAATGTTCATAAGGTTGCTGAGCAAAGAAACTAAATTTATGAAAAGTTGTATTTGAGCTTCAGAAAATAATTTATTAGCATTGGTACACAGGTTACACATGCAGGTAATGAACATGAGTAAAACAACAACAAATACATAAAAACAATTATTCCTGAGTTAGAAACAGTCGTCAGAGTCGATCGCACCAGTACTCCGATGTTTCAATGTGTGACGGTATGTCGATGTGGAAAACTGGAGGAGTCTGAGGAGGACTGTTGACGCCTGAGTCGCTGCCAGGATTGGAGCGGTTAGCTCCTCCTCTTCCTCCTGCGGCGTATTTCACCTCCACCCTCTGGACAGGAAGTGAAGCAGGTGCCAGTGGGGCCTCGGCTTTGTGTTTGATGTTCTTAAACTGTTTCAGGCGCACCACTTCCCTGCCCTCCACCGAGCACGGCAGCAGCACGGAGACATCTTTGCGGAATTTGGAGCTCATGCCGAAGTATATGAGCGGATTGTAGAAGCTGGCGGACTTGGCGAAGAGCCGAGTGATGATGCTGGTTGTACTCGGCACGTGAAAGCCCCAGGCGGACCACATGGACACCACTGCATACGGGGACCAGGCCGTGATGAAGGCAGTGCAGATTACTATGGAAATCTACAGCAGAACAGAGGAAAATAGTCAGAAGTGGAGGAACTGGGACACAAATAGTTCCAATAAAACATCATCTGGCCTACCCTCGTGACGTCCCGTTCCACTATCCGTTGGCGATCTGAAAGGAACCCATTAGCTGACATGGCGTTTGTGCTTTTCACCGTTTTGATGATGGATATGTAGGCCAACAACATGATCATAACGGGGAGGAAGAAGCAGAAGATGAGGATGGAGATGATGTAGGACTTGTAAATAGTAGAGTAATTAGCTTTGGACCAGTCGATCTCACAGGTGCCGTAACCTCGGTCTTAGGAAGAGAGGAGAGAAGAAGAGATCAGATCAGTTATTTTAATTGTATTCCATCTATATAAATATTTATATTCATATTTATGGTGATATTTAGCGAGACCTGTGTAGCTGCCCCATCCCAGCAATGGAGCAACAGACCAGAACATGGCCCCAGTCCAGATGAAGATTACCGCCACTATAACAGAGTTGTTGCTGATGCAATGAGCTGCAAAACAAGAAAAGCAACATTAGTACAAGATGGTTTTCAAACCGTGCATCTGATTGTTGGTCTATCTTTAGTTTCAAAAGGTCAACAGTTCAAATGTTGGCGAAGACTAAACAGAAACAGTGTGAGATTTATAAAAATGCAGAATTCTTGACTTGTTATGAATGTTTGGGCTGACATTTCCGGAACAATGACGCCTCTTCATATTTTAACAGCCTTTGCTAACGTCTGCAAATGAAAAGCGTCTCTGTTGAGAAAGTTTTGTTCCAAGAGCGAGACAAGTTCGCCGTTAGGGATGTTTTTCTTTTTCGGGTTTTTTGGTCCCTTTATGGATTTCTGCTATTTTTCTGTCTTCTTTATCACATTTAAAATTTCAGATCAGCAAACAACTTTTAATGGCAACATCTCGATCACGCATTTACGACAATCGGTAATGAGTCTCTCCCATCTCTGCGGAGGAGGTCTGACCACTATTCTTAACAGAATTTTTTATAATTCAGGCTCACTGAAGGGTTTTCCGGCAGGAACAGCCTATTTAAGGTCAAAGGTCAGATGTTTTCCTTCAGGTGTTTTGCTAGAGAGCAGAATTTGTGTTTCCCTCAGTTACAACAAGTGGTCCAGGTCCTGAAGCAGTGCAGCAGTCCCAGACCATCACACTACCACCACTGTGTCCGATTGATGATGTGATGTTGGTTTAGTGTTAGTTTGACTCCAGGTGGAACAGAAAGATCTACCTTTGTGTAGGAAATGTGCTGCATAAATAATATTTTCATTTTAAGATTTTAGTAAATGTGAGTTGCATCTTCATGTTTGGAACGCTCCCATGGAGGCCATGTTTGCCCCCCCAGGGCCTTTAACCTTAAATTTTACCAAGTGATGTTGTTCTTTGTCAGGAACTCCAGCTCCCATCATCTCCATCGCACCACGTAGCTACCACTTAACTACCACAGCTTAACGCCACCACCACATAACTACCACGGTCTCGGTACCACTTCTTACCGAAATCAACTCCATTCAGTCATCCATTCATTCAGAGCTCCATCGCTCATGCAACCTTCAACCACCTGACCAGTAAGTGAGACCTTTCTTACCTTTGTAACGCCTGTACTTTCTCGTTTCCCGTCGAGTGACATACCGGCGTTCCTAGATTCCCAGTGCTCGTACATCTGCGTTTGGGTCTCACCAACATGCTACAAACAAACCCGCTGATCCTTCCCAGAGCCCTTCTGACATTCTTGGTCTGTTTTATGGAAAGTTTTTAGAACGGGGCCCGATGTGTTGCTTTTTGAGGTCTTTTAGCCTACTCCATGTTGTCACAAAGGTTCTGTTCACGTGCTTTCTTAATTCTACAGGTGTGGGAACAGAACTCAGCCTTCTAAATAAGAAGATCAGTCACTATTAATTCACGATTTAACAAGGGAGTCGGTTACTTTTCCACGCAGAGCCAGGCTTGGCACATTTTTCCTCCCTTGATAAGTGATACCTTACTTTAAAAACCGCGTTTTGTGTTTACTCAGATAATTTTTGTCTGATCTGAAACATTTAATTGAGGAAAAAAGCAAAAGCAGAAGAAATCAGTATTTTTACACATTGTACTTTTGACTGCCTCTATATGGATAAATCCTACTCTTCTCACACTTAATTTGCACTTGGTCTCATCTGAATCCACCTACATCGTTCCACATCAGCTGATCTATGGGTTAGAGTCACACTCACCAGACCTAATTTCCACATAATGACGACGTTCTACATCATCACTTTACTTCCAGAAACCAAAGATTTCACCTCAAACAGACTTCATGACACACTAGAGGATTCTGAAAGGGCTTCCTGGAGACGAGAAGCTGTCCTCTGTCCTTCTGAGTACGGACCTTTGTGTGGGTGGCATCCTCTGATGTATCTGGTGACGCTGATGACGGTCAAGGTGTTGATGCTCACGAGGCCAAACAGCAAGGTGAGGAAGCCGTCTACCTGAGGGAGGAAGCAGTGTTAGGTGGTAACATTACAAATATCTGCCTGGATACTGATGGAAATGGGATGCTGCAGTTCCTAGAGACGCTTCCTCCCATAAGCACCTGATGATGCTCCTGATGTAACGTTCTAGCAGGTCATTGTTTGAGAATGATCAAGTCCGAGACATTCACAAGGGGATTTACGTGACTGTGTTTGAATTCAGCTGAGAGCATGCAACGCTCAGCACCTGCTGGGTCACTTCCAGGTGACTCGGCTCATTTAAGGTCCTCCACTGATCGTCCTTTATCCTAATCCCATTACACACAGTCATCACGTTTTCATGCTCCAATAGAAAACTGTCATTTTTTCAGAATACTAAGTCCTTCAGAAGATGTTTTAAGAAGAAAACCTGATGATGAAGGAGAAATGATGTTAAATGAAGCTCACTGGCCTCTGAAAGGTCTGTTCTAACTACACTCAGAGACTGAACGATGGCTTTAGGTGCTAAACACACGGATCTGACCAGACTTGAAACAGTTCATGTCACATCATGCTTCTTCATCTCTTCTGACGCTTTTCTCGTTTGCTTTTCTGTTCCTAATCCTCCCTTTCTATGAGCTCCTGCTGCTCGTATTCACTTATAGCCTCCCTCTCTCAGCCGGCCTTGAGGCACTCAAAACTAAAATTGTTCTGGACTAACTGCCTTGTTTTTGTATGAATTTCTTTGAGGATTCCTACCAACGATAGCCTCGAGCAACAAAAATACCCAGATAGAATTCCAGGCAAAAGAATGACAGCTATTTCATTTTGAACGGAGGCTGTGAGAGGATAGTAAGAACAGGAACGGTGCACTTTAACGTCCTGGTAATTAATTTCAATATTTCAGATGTGAGAGGCTTTGCTGATAAAAGGCACGTTCATGCCGCAGGTCTGATGTTTTAGAGTTTCACCAGTTCAAACGTCTCCACCGCCGTAATCTTATTACAGAATTAACCTCTATCCCACATACCATAATCCCCCTGCACACACACACACACACACGCTACGAGTTCACTAGATTCTTTCAATATACTTTATTATTATGGGATGACCAAATGAAAAAATAACTACTTTTTGTAGATCTGCACATTTCTGACCCTTTAAAAAAATCTGTATTTTAAGCTTTAAAATTTAGTGCTAAATCATTTGAATTGAAATGGTTTTGAGCTGCAGCCTCACAAGCAAGAAGGTTGCAGGTTAAAATCCCAACAGCATTTCTCTGTGTGGAGTTTGCACGTTCAGGTTAATTTGTGACTCTAAATTGTCCCTTGTTGCTAACGAGTGAGTTTATGAATAGTTGTGTGTCTCTGTGATAGACTAGGGACCTGGCCAAGGTGTCCCCTGCCTCTCGCCCTCTCGCCTGATGACTGCACTGCAAAAACAAATTGCTAAGAAAGTAAAACTAAAACAAAATTTTACATATTTTATCTTTTTTTAGTATAAAAATAAAATAAATAATTCTTAACTAGAAAAATAGCATCACATACTTAAAATAATTTTGATTAATTTGCTTGTTTTAAGAGTTCTAGGCAAGCACCAAACTGGCAGATTTTTATTTACCCAAAAGAAACTTTGGATCATATTTAAAGTGACAGTGTGTATTTTTTCTGGTTATAGGGGTCAGTAGATACCTAAATCATTGCAAGCAAGTAGTATTTTTGTGTTGGAGTCAGGCCTTACCAATGGATGCCCATTAGGATCAAAAAACCCTGGGGAAGGCAAGATCTCCTTTCATCACTGGTAACAAGTGAAGAGGTAAATGTGTAAAACAACAGTGTTTATGAATGGTGAAAGTTTTGTAATTGTTTGTTACAAATAAATGCATTTTGTCCTCAAGGGCTCCCGTGGAAGTAAACATGGCATCTAATACGGCGTCACCCACAGACTTAGGGTGCTTCTCAATACTAAGGATCCTCTCCTTTATGTCTTCGCCCCGCCCCGGTTGCCTAGGAGATACGTCATCAGGAACCACCAAGGCGTGTTCCAATGTTCATGTTCTACCGAGGCGTGTGTTCTCCGTTTAACCCATGAGAAGTACTGGGCTACTAAACCTGCTTATGTTGTCTGAACTGTAGTACCACAAATGCCCACCAGGGTGCAGGTTACACCTTCTGAAACCTGAGCTATAGACATGCAACGTACTCACTTTTCACCTCCAAGCACATGTGTCGTCTGTGCACTGAACGGATCGAGTTAGTAGCAGAAAATAGTGATGCATGAATCGATATTATTGAATATTTTATTGATAATATACTGTGTCATGAATCCACTGACTCGTGGAAATAGCTTTGGAACCTCTTTATTAATGGACTCCGAACCGAGCTCCGTTTTACAACATTCTCTCTGTCTCTCCCACTCTACCACACGTTTACTCCCGTGCCCCTTGCAGGTCAGGAGTGGAACCGCAGATAGCTCACATCACATCTCATCACATACTGTGAATAGGCTGGAACCTTGTGAGTCATCTGTGAGCGACGGGAGTAACCGTTTGTTGAGAGCTAGCTTGTGGAGATCCCGGTGAGTGAAAAGTTAGTTGGCCTGCCTTAGCTTTCGGCTAATGTGTTATTTTGTGTTATTTTGGCATAAATGACTGACTTTTATTTAAAATGAAACCAATCGGCAGTTTTATGGACACTGTCCTAATCTTTTAAATGCTTTGATGTACTCCACATCATTGTAACATGTGAGAGATTTGTAAAAAAAAAAATGCTAATGCTAATGCTAGCCCTAATGGCTACTGCTAGTTCCAATCTTTTACAATGGAGTAATTAGCACTGTAGCAAGAGGGTTCGTGCTCTCTGCATACCAACTGATTCATTTGTTAGAACGGCAACAGCTGATTGTGAGCCGTGTTAAGTTAGGCTATACAGTTGGTTTTAGTAAATAAATAAATAAGTGTTTGTACAAAGTTGATAAGCAATTCATTTAATCTACCTGGTTACAAGGATTAAAAAGATAAAATAAATGTTTTAAAAGTGATGAACATTGCAGTTCAATCATATAAATATGATTAAAGGGACTTTATGGAGTTTTGAATTTTTATGCTTGCGATTGCCCCCTCAGGCCAAAAGTGTAACGGCAGCTTCAATAGTAGGCTCGTGCAGGAGGCGCGCATGCTGTACGTGCACACTCCATAACGAAAATAACAGCTGAGACAGTCCCTTGTGTGTGTGTGTGTGTGTGTGTGTGGCCCGGAGGACAGAGGACAGGAGAACACGCAGCTAATTAATTAAATAATTTGTTTCTGTACCTTTCTCTTCAGCACAGCCGACAAAGGTTTATGATGGGTCAGTCCTCCTGCATGCTCAGATCATTCCCTTCCCTTGCTTGAAAAATTGTTCCAAAATGAAAGTTGAACCCACAACTTTTTTATCTGTGAATTCAAAGCCGCATCTTACTGTAAATAAATATGCCATTATTGTAAAAAAGAAACTCTAAATAAACTATGTTCACAACCGGAATCAAACCCAGGTCTTCAGCACAAGAGTCCGACATCTTACTAGGTGAGCTAAAGCACCAGTGACATCTTTTGTATCTGTAACATTTATATCCTTGATGACAGCTGAAACAACATTCAAAGAAGTGAAAATGGCCATTTTGTTGCTAATTTGCAGGAAATATCTAGAAGAAAGTTCTACAGAAAGTAGCTAAGGGTCCTCAGAAATGTAGCTAGCTTTGTCACTAGGCGTTAGGAACAGCGACAAAGTGGCACTGCCTCTCTCTCTGCTGCTAAAGCTACGGATAGCAAATGCTACGGGCGATGCCTGAGCGTGAACGCGCATGAAGCAGCCTGCTCGACCCGAGCATCTCTCTTTTTCTGTGATTTTACAGAAAAACAGGCAATCACAGTAAAAATGCCAGGGCTCATTCTACAGGACCAGGGCATTGCAGGAGAACGTATGAAGAAGACATTTATTATTTCTATACATGTTTTGGCTGTCACACTTCCATAATGCCCCTTTAAGTCATTAGATGTTCAATTAATTTATGTTTAACATAAGGTTGCTGCTAAAAAGCAGGAAAACTGTACACAAATTACAGTTTAAAGTTAAAGGTAAGAGCTGGAACTGGGAAGCACTTCAGTTGTTTTGATAAGGTTTTCTTAAACCGTTGGATAACTACTACTGATGCTCTTTTGAGTTAGAGCTGAGGTCTCATAGGGATAGAAAAATGAACAGAATGATTTACTTTCTGCATTCTATGTAGATTGGTTTTATAGTGACTCTGGATTCTTAAGGTGATGCCGAGCCGAGCCCAGATGGACTCCGGACAGGTGTAAACGGTGTGGCCAGCCGAGACATCCTTTCGCAGAGGAGCCTTCACGAACTGGAAAAATCCATATAGATCTACAGATAAGACACAAACACTACCCGGGTAGCAACGTTGCTCAAGAACTGAATTCTAAAGATTAACATCTATTTATTTTTTTGGGGGAAAAGAGCTCTCTTATTTTGGGTATTGTATTTGACTTCAAAAATATTGTAACCACACATTCTCTTTTTTGAATGCTGAGTGAAGCAATAAATCACCGTTGTTCAACATTCGGATGGTTATCCTAAATCTCTTTGTAGATGAAGCCTAGTAGATGTCCAGTACCTGACTAAAACTAGTCCCCTTTATAGGTGCTACATCCGTTTGTTAGCCGTTTAGCTAGCTGAGCAAGAATACACGGGAGGTGTCTTGTAGCCTAGCCTTGGTCAAAAATTTCCCAGAATACACCGCAGTATTTTCAAAAGAAGGGCAGATCAGAAGCCGGCAGCTACTTCGGGGGCAAATTTCAAGTTTAAAAGTAAGTCAACTCATTTAACCCTCCCACTGTCCTTATGGGTGTGACCGAGCGAGGAAAGTTGACCATTGAGCAGGATTGATGGTTTATCCCTTGGGTCCACGTGGCAGGGGTGAGGAGTGAGTACCACGTCACCCCTGCCACGTGGACCTCAAGGGATAAACCATCAATCCTGCTCAATGGTCAACTTTCCTCCCGGGGTCACCCATGAAGACAGTGGGAGGGTTGAAATGTATTTTTTTTTTAGATCCAAATATGGTTAGCTTAGTAGTTGCAGCTTCGGTGGCTAGCAGGTAGTAACTTGCTTATATATTTAATTTAACAAATATATACACAATTGAAAAAGTTAAAGTCTCGTTATGTATTTATATTAGAACTTATACGTATAAAATATAACGTTATCCCCGTGTCACGTGACATTATGTGACCATCGTGGAAGCCGCGGTCACGTGATGTAAGTCTGTTCCATTTAACCGTTTTCTTTGACCAAGGAAGGACCGTGTCCTCGTAAGCAAGGCGCCTGGCCTCGCGAGGTGATGTCTTGACATTGAGAAACACCCTTAGACCCGCTCCCGTGTATTTTAGACCTGATTTTTATTGTTATATGTTACAAAGATAGTTTTGAACAACTGGTCATTATTTAATACATTTTCAACAACATTTCGATGGACGTTTACAGAGATTAATGGTAAAAACTATACATTGTCTCTTTAAGAATATTTAGCTTATTTTAATATGATTTTTCTGGAGAAAAATCTATTTTTCTTTTTAGAGTAAAAATAAGTTCAAATGTCTAAAAATTAGGCTTTTTAAAAACTTTCTTAGAAATCCGTTTTTTCAGTGTACAGGAGTCAGTTCCTCACCCCCTTACTGAGGATTAAAGTTTAATGGTCTTTTTCTGGTGGCTTTTACCTGGCAGGTCCAGATCCAGGTGATCAAATACCCATCGTCCTTGAAGATATTGAATATTTCCAGGATTCCTCTGGAGTAGCCAAACACAGAGATGCTGGCATCAGAAATGGCGAGATTTAACGTGAGGAAATCTGCTGGCTGAAGCGAGACCCGTTGCCTGTAGAGGACAAATATCACTAGACTGTTTCCAAACCATGACAGCCATCCTGCAGAGAGACAGAAAACAGCAGTTAGAGACAGGCACGGTGCATTGTGGGTGGAGATCGCGTAACCTCAGTGGGAATTAAGCAGACAGGTAGATGAGCCGCACTATGTTGCATTTCAAAATATATCACGGATCCTTCATATAAAGCAGTGGTTTACCAATTTTGGATCTGTGGTTAATAAAGCACCAAGCTCGGGGATTCAGAAATGCAATTAAACACATTTTTGATAAAACATAGTAAAATAATTAATTAATTCCTGTTTGTCTTTTTGATAAAGTTTTAGCTTCAACCGGTGAAATTTGTTGTGCAGAAAAGTTTGTGAGTCAAAACTGTCATCAAAACTAGTTCACCTGTTGTAGCTAGCGCTCTGAGTGACCTCAGTACGGAGAAATAGGCATGAGTTCTGATTGGACAGAGAAGCTAATGGCTAGCCATAGCAAAGGCAGTTCCAGAGAGGATTGAAACCACCACCAAGTATCATGTAAGTGCTCTTTTTTGAACCTTTGCATCATATCTAGATCCACATTATATGATTGCTTTTCCAGAAATGTAGCTCTGAAAGCAGAGGCGCTACAAGTATCTAGCTCACTGCTAACAATACAAATAATTCATTCTACTCAAAAAGAAAAAAAAAATCCTAAAGTAATTAAACTTTTTATTTTTAAAAGTGTTTGCATGAACTTATATGTTATTTTTTGAGATTAGAGATATTTTAATAAATCATTGAATGACTTTTTAACTAGCTGTTAGCTCATCAATCCATTGGTGAGTTATGGATCTCTGTTTCTTTAATCTGAGGCTGCTCGTAGGAAATTTGTGAGTTTTTTAAATAACTTTTCAACAGAAACTAAATCTCACACCAGCTCAAACACATCCTAGATAAACTTAGTAAAGGTAATTTCTTATAAAGTTTGCAGAAGGCAAAGTGCAGCAGTGTAAGCAGAGCCTTCTCAACGCTTCTGCTGAACCAAAAATTCAAAAGCAATGTCAGATTTTATTAGATTTTCAGCAATTGTTAAAAAAATTATTGCCTTTTGTCAGCTTCAAGTTATTTCAACGACAATTTTTATCTAAAATGTCTTTAATTGAGCTTTGTGGGACTCTTATGCAAACCACAGATGCATCCGTGTAAACAAATAAAGCGAAAAAGTAGTTTTCTACATAAAGACAATTATTTTATATAAATTTAACTACATGAACTGACTGTTTATCCACTGACTCGTGTGCAGCTGTAGTTTGTGGGGAGCTGACTCACCTAACACCAACAGGTAGACCCCGATGATGGTTTCTCCTTGTTCAGACAGAGGAGGGTCTGTACGGAGAGCACTGAGATTATTATTCCTCCATGGAATATTTGCCACCTTCATAGGGAACCCCTTCAGCGTTATTTCCATGGCCTGAACTTTAATGCCTCCGCATGAATTCTTTCTGTACTGAACAACAGCTCAGCTCTGTTCTCCCTTCAGGAGACACTCAGGTCCTAGACCAGTGGGGATGACTGGTGAGTTGGACCTAAATCCAGCTTAGACACAATGACTAATGCTTGACCACTCGCTGGGCAAATGGCTGCAGCTGTAATCCTATCTATTTCTTACTACTAAGACGGCAGAGATTCTGGGAGGAGATCCTGATCAGCCATTTAAAGACCCAGCCAGTTGGTAGAGGAGATTTATTTAGCTTCAGGCAAATTCTAATTATCTGAAATTGGTGGACACATGATCCTCGTCCAGGCTGTGTTATTATTAGTGTTTTATATCTTGTGTGGGATCAAAGCTGAATTTCAGGCTGTTTGTGAAGCTCTTGTGTTGATTCTTGGCCTTCAGGTCTGAAATGAACCTCTTTTTCTCTGAAATGAACCCTATCGGCAAAATCTTCCGCAAATTCAATATCCAGTTTCACTGCTTTGCAGATGACACCCAGCTCTACATTTCCAGTAAGCCCAACTCAACTCTCCCACCATCCTCCCTTACACTCTGCCTCTCTGAAATCAAATCATGGTTCACCTCTAATTTCCTCAAACTCAACGGCAATAAAACTGAACTTCTTCTAGTTGGCACTAACTCCACCCTCTCAACATCTGACAGCTTTTCTTTAACTATTGACAGTGCCACAGTCTCCCCCTCACCTCATGTCAAGAGTCTGGGTGTCATTCTCGACAGCTCCCTTTCTTTTCAGGCTCACATTAATAACTTAATTCGGTCAGCATACTTCCATCTACGTTCCATAAACCGTCTTCGTCCCTCACTGACCCCTCACACTGCCGCCATTCTCGTCCACAGCCTCGTCACCTCCCGTCTCGACTATTGCAATTCACTTCTTTATGGTCTCCCCAACAAACTCCTTCATAAACTGCAACTGGTCCAGAATTCAGCAGCCCGTATTATCACCAGAACCCCTTCCTTTCACCACATCACGCCGGTTCTCCAGCAGCTCCACTGGCTCCCAGTTAAATTCAGGCCCATCTTCAAAATTCTCCTCCATACCTTCAAAGCAATCCACAACCTCTCTCCTCCATATATCTCAGACCTTATAAGTATTCACACCCCGTCCCGTTCACTCAGATCTTCTTCTTCCATCCATCTTGCGGTTCCTTCTGCCCGTCTCGCTACCATGGGGAGCAGAGCTTTCAGCCGCTCTGCTCCTCGACTCTGGAACTCACTTCCCCCAGACATCAGGAACATCGACAGTTTTACCCTTTTCCAATCAAAACTCAAAACACATATGTTTAAATCTGCCTACAACCTCTGATTTTATTGAAATGTTTCTCTCTGTTTTTTCTTCTTTGGGTTTTATTATTGTTTTATTGTATTTTATTACGTGTTTTGTGTAAAGTGACCTTGGGTGTCCTGAAAGGCGCTTTGAAATAAAATGTATTATTATTATTATTATTATTATTATTTTTAAGTCTGACTCCCATGATCTGTTTGGAGGGTTTAGCGGGGGTTTCACCACATTTGAAAAATAAAATCTTACTCTGATTTTCCACATATTTGATCAGAAATGACAATGTGAGGTTGAAATATTCAACTCAGCCTTTAGTCGTATAGCACTTTACCGGTGGCTGGTGAAAGAAATTCTCGGTGGGGCTATATGTGAAATACTTCCCTTCTTAGTCCATATAAAATGTGCAAATGAACAGTTGAAAATCACTATAATTCCCAAACAATTATTTACATCACTTACCCAAATCGGTAGTTTTACAGATAGACTAAAATAATAACTAGAACATCTCTGAAGAAATTTTAAAAGGGATCTGCCCGCTGGCACAAAATAGTGGCCGTGTCCTTTAGAGGCCAAAGATTCATATTTGGGTGACTTTGGGGTGAAAAGCCAAAACCATGTGGAAGTGGATTATACCATGGTGATTGATTGGTGCGATGATTCTGACAGCGACGAAAGCTCTGAACAGATCTTTGAGCCACGAGAAACAGAATCTCCTAAATCTGTAGAAACTCAACAGCAATCAACCTTCTGTGCTGATCCGGAGCTTTCTCTGAGACGAACCAACCAGGGTCTCTTGTCCTTGTGGAGACTCTGGGAATGTGAACAAAATGATGAACTCGCCTTCCGACTCAGCTCTCTGTTCACCACGACAGATCGGTACAACGCCCGCATCACTGCAGACGCAGCACCAATCCGCCTCTCGCTCCATTTTTCCCTCACTCATGAACAAGACCCTAACAAACTTAGACTCCTCCGCTTGAGGCAGGACCTTGTCCCCTGACCTGGAGAAGGCATGTTCTACCCTTCCGGATTGGCTTATTTTTTGATTACACAAAATGTGTTCTGTAATTGGAGCAGGCAGCCTTTAATATCGTTTGTTTTGTGTTTATTGAGCTTGTCAGGCATGCCAAATGTAGAAAAGTCATTTATTTAAAAACGGTTTGTTCCTCCTGACACCTGCCCATTTGTTCTTGTGTTGTGGGAGAGGACTTGGAACGGGCAGGTTCCAGTGTCTTTTGTTGGGCGTGTCTGTTTACGGAGCTCCTCAAAATAAACTGAGAATCCGTTGATCTCCAACGATGCGATGTGATCCTTCAGCAATAACCCACACAACGCAGAAGGGATCCGGTCACTCCTTCATTGCTTCAGCTGTGTAAAGTCCAGGCGACCGGTTCTGAGGACTGTCCTTCTCCGCAACTCGAAACAGATCTGGAAGCTTTGTGCCGAACACTGTTAGCTTTGAGAAGTATATTCTTTGGTTATCTGCACAAAGATGATCAAAATATCTAAATCCCTAGGTTTTATTTTGGATATACAGCTGTGGATGATTATGTTTTTGCCCCAGTGCAGTGTGCAGTTGAAGGGGTCTATAGGGGTTTTTAATGTCAGCTTTGTATATTTTTCTATGTATTCTTTGGACCGTGAGTCTGCAATAAAGTCTACTTACTCACTTATAGCATTCTGTAGCAAGTTTGATTCTGAATAGTGTTCTTTCACTTTATTTAAAGTTGTTTTCAACAACCGATCAGCCATCAGGGTTGGTGAGCACGTGCTGTAGATGGTCTGGCAACAATTTACACCATTCTGACTTTTCCGAAAGTCTTTGAGAAAAATCCCTACAAACGTGTCTGAATCTCCTGTAAAACTGTGTGCCTTTTGAGGAATCCCATAACCAAGTGTGTGCCATGACAGATTGATGCTTGAGTGAGAGCATCTGGCTCTTTGAGAATTTATTGAACACCTCCTTAGGACTTGGGGTACTTTAAAACAGTCTCTTTATATTTTTACACAAATTGACATATTTGGTCTGAATGATGATGGTCTAAACTTACATTTGCACCACAGCTCCCCTCCTCCACCCTTCTCCTGTTTACAGTGAGGCTCTCTGTGGCAGCACACCTACTGGAGGGGGAACCTGAGCCACCGCCCTTGGTGTGCGTTTAGCTCACAGAGTGGACCTTGTTTCCTTCTGCTGGCTGCCACAGAGCAGCTCTGCTGGTCTTCAGGATGTGGAGGAAAGGGCTGCTGCCAGAAGGCTCGATGCTTCCGAGTTCTCCTCATTAAACCCCTTTTACAAACCTCTGAAAGCCAGAGTGGAGGGAGGAGAAGGTGCACCACTGGCCCAAACTGTCACCTGTCCAGTCACAACTTTAGCTCCACAGCGATCCCTGTGTGAGCATCGTGCAGAGGTGGTGTTCAGTACATCCTTTAGTATTTAGCTAAAAATTAACAGAATGTTATCTTTTAGCATTTTTCAAACATTTTTTATCCAAACTGCCCTAGAAAAGAATCAAATCTGTTTGTTGTTGGTCTGTGGGAAGAAACTGGAATACCCAGAGAAAACCCACACACGAGTGAGGGAAACATTAAAGCTCCATGCAGAAGGCCACAACTGGGATTTGAACCTGTGACCCTTTTCCTGTGAGGCAACAGTGCTGCCAAAACCCTACAAGCCATTGTTAAAAGACTACTCTCACTATTGTTTATTGAGTTGTGACAGATAGCTGCACATCCTGAGCTTTGGGGTTTGTTGGAGGTTACGTCCTGTCAAAGGCAGCTTTCCTCTCCACTGTCGCTACATGCTTAATCATCATGAGGGATTGCTGTAAAGTCTTTGACACAACAAGTCAGTGACTCGATGCAGTCTGCTGGGTTTTCTATAGGAAATTTTAACTAATTGGCTAAATGAACTGAACTCAATGCTGATAAGTAGGTTCAATTGGAATTTTTACTTTGTGAAGTGCCTTCAGATTCTATTCTATTTTATGTATAAAGCACATTTCTACACGACCAAGGCCAACCAAAGTGCTGCACAGTAAAAGAGCATAGAAATTAACACACGGGAAGAAAGTAATAAAAGTAGTACAGTAACTACTCAAAAATCAACAAAAAATAAAATAAAACAGAGACATAGTACAATGCTAACTAGGCTGAAGTAAAAGCCAAGGAATAAAAATGAGCCTTCAGGTGTGATTTTAAATCAGAGAGAGGGGCCGTTCTCACTGATAGAGGGAGTTGGTTCCAGAGACGAGGTGCACAGATTGAGAACACTCATTCTCCTCGTGTCCTCATCCGAACACTTGGGACCTGTAACAGGCGGTGGTCTGCAGACGGAAGAATTCGACCAGGTATGTAGGGCTGAACCAGCTGAGTCAAGTACAGAGGCGCATAAAGATATAGTGACTTAAAAACAAGAAGTAAAACTTTAAACTGGATGCGGAAGAGCACCGGGAGCCGGTGCAGCTGGGCCAGAACAGGAGTAATGTGCTCCCTCCGTGTGGTGTCTGTCAAAAGGTGGGCGCCGCATTCTGCACCAGCTGTAGGCGCGCAACCGAGGAGGATGTGGATCTATAAAAAGGGAATGATGACTGTGTGTCATGGTCTGCGTCTGCCCCTTCCTTCAAGTGTCTCCTGATGTTTCTCCATCCCTCTCTAGATTCCCTTCTGTGTCTCATAGCGCCCTCATGTGTCCTTTGTCTGCGTCTCAATTATGTGTCTTAATGCTGTTACCCTTTTAAATCATTCCTCCCAGGTCAGCTCCAGCCTCTTTGTCCCCAGCTCAGTGTGTGTGTGTGTGTGTGTGTGTGTGTGTGTGTGTTATGTCCTCCTCCAGCTAGTTTATGTGAGCCCTTCCCTCTGTCTTTAGATAATTGTTGTTTAGTTTTGTGTTTAGGTATTTGCCCTCTGTTTCTGTTTTGCCAGTTAGATTATTAGATTCACCTGTCTTCCCTCCAGCCCTCACTCCACACACCTGCTGCCATTTTCCCTAATTACTCCTCCCTGTGTATATAAGCCCTGTCTTGTCTCTGTCTTGTGTCGGTCCATTGTTTG